TTATTATTATTATTGATGCTTGCAACAGTTATGAGACGTGTGTTGCCTAATTATCCATGGCTCTTTATTTTATTTGATCATTTCTTTCTCTTTTCCTCAACGTTGATGAGAATGTCATGGTAGACCAAGCAATGCTGAATGTTGCACACAGTCTCCTGCACATTAGCTGCTTCCGGGTCTGATTGGAGACACTCCTGTGAATCAGATCAGTCACCTGACGCTGCTCTCTTGCCTCTCTGATCCGCGGTTTGTGCAGAATGTGTGTTTCTCTCGCTGCAGGAGCGTTCAGGATGTTGAGAAGCCTCAGATCTCGTCCTGCAGTAAAGGAGACGCGTCCCAGCACTACCGCAGCTCACCCAGTAACCAGTCGTCCTCCAGCGACCCGGGACCCTGCGCAAGCGCCAGCTGGAACCAGCAGCCGGGATACGACGGGTAACACAAACTCATTCAGCTGGACATATGACATACATACAGTTAATACAATTACATTGATCATTTTCATTATCAAGTATTCTTTTAGGATTTATTTAGTAATAATTTGGTTTGTTTATTAGTTTAATTTAGTATTAATGTGTTGGTCCAATGGAAAACTCAAATAAAATAAATACATCAATAAATATATACACTACCGGTCAAAAGTTTAGGATCAGAACGATTTTTTATATTTTTGACAGGAGTTTCTTATGCTTATCAAGGCTGCATTTATTTGATAAAAAATACAGAAAAACATTTAATATTGTTAAATATTATTATGATGTAAAATAAAGTTTTTCTATTTTAATATACATTAAAATATAATTTATTTCTGTGATCAAAGCTGAATTTTCAGCATCATTACTCCAGTCTTCGGCGTCACGTGATCTTCAGAAATCATTCTAATATGCTGATTTATTATCAGTGTTGAATAAAAAATTTAAAAAGAAGAGCATTTATTTAAAATAGAAATATTTTCTAACAATATACACAACAGTTCAAAAGTTTGGGGTCAGTACGTTTTTATTCTTTCTTTTTTTTGAAAGAAATTAAAAAATGTTATTCAGCAAGGATGTGTTAAATTAAGAAGTGATGGCAAAGATTTATATTGTTAGAAAATATTTATATTTTGAATAAATGCTGTTCTTTTTAACTTTTTATTCAGAATCCTAAAAAAGTATCGCAGTTTCCAAAAAAAATATTTGGCAGCACAACTGTTGCCAACATTGATTATTCTAATAATAAATCAGCATATTAGAATGATTTCTCAAGAATCATGTGACACTTTATACTGGAGTAATGGCTGATGGAAATTCAGCTTTGCATCACAGAAATAAATTATATTTTAAAGGGTATTAAAAGAGAAACCATTATTTTATATTATAATAACATTTTGAAAGATTACTGTTTTTTTTCTGTATTTTTGATCAAATAAATGCAGCCTTGATGAGCAGAAGAGACTTCTTTAAGAAACATTACAAGTCTTACTGATACCAAACATTTGAACGGTAGTGTAAATCAGCTAATACAATTAGATTAATAATATTTTATCAAATATTATTCCATCAGACCAGTTTGGAGCGGCTAGAAAGCATGTTAGACAGTCAGATGTTCTGGGAATCTCCATGTTTATCCTTCAGTCTGTTTCTTCACAGAGGCGAAGTGGCACGTCCCTTCCACCAAGATCCTCAACTCCTTGAAGGAAAGAGGCAAGGATGCACCAAACAAGTTGACGCGGGTAAGACTATTCCCACATTTAACACTCCTGTGGAGTAGAAGTGATGCCAAGAACCACACATAAGCCCAACCATTAAATGTCTTTAAAACAGTGATTTACAAGCTTTTTAACTCCAAGGCCCTCCAGTGGCCCTCAAGTTTCCTCTGGCACATCTTCTGTAATGAAAGTTTTTTTTTAATTTTTTTTTATAGAAAGCAAGGAGTATCTATAGATTAAAATAGATAACAAAATGATTGTATTTCAAATTAAATATTGGAAATTTCAATTTTGGGTAAGGGATTTAAAATAATATTTTACTCAGAATTTCTTATTATAGTAAATAAATCAAAACACAGAGAAAAATAAATAAATAAACTTTGTCTCTCTCTTTATTTATTCCTTCCATTTCTAGCTTGTACTTATTTGAACAGTGCCTGAAACTTGGTATTGCGAGCACTTCCTCTGACTGTTTGCCTCTTTAAGAAGAATCGCTTTATGTATTCCTCAATTGTAAGGCGCTTTGGATAAAAGCGTCTGCAAAATGACTAAATGTAAATTTAACAGATTTATTAGATTTAGGCTATACAGTGAAGACTATGCAGTGTTATTTTACATTTGATTATTCAATTTCTGTACCTGAATACTGTTAGACTTACTTGAAAAATATAAAGCACTGTTTATTTAATTTGTATCTTTGTTCTATTATATTTATCTATGCTTGTAATTTGTTGATTTACTCACCTACAAAATCACCCCAATCAATGATTATTTTTTTTCCAAATAGAGGTATTCAAGTCATCTGGTGATTTTTATTTTTTATTTTTTCATATCGCAATATATATATAGCAGAAAAACAAAATATCGCAATGTGAGTTTTTTCCAATATCGTGCAGCCCTAATTTCTAGTACTGGAAAAGTTATGAATGCTATTTTTTCTGTTTATGCCAATAATTATGATAATATTTTCTAATTATAATCATATTTTATCAGGTAGAAATTCTGAGCAATGTCATTTTAGTACACTTTAGTACACTGTTATTATATATATATATATATATTTGTTTTTTTGTATTTTCCGTCATTATTTCACTTTTAGTTAAAGCTTTAGCAATTTTTGTTGTTTATCATTTTTATTAGTTTTTTATTTATTTAATATGTCTATAAAGTTCTTAACCAATCATTTCATAATAATAATAATAATAAACTTTACTTTATATAGCGCCTTTAAAAGTAGCATAAGCGCTTTACATACGTACATATGAAAATGATTACGTTAAAAGATACACACAAAAAGTACAGACAGTAAAAAAAACTAACCAAAAAATACAAAGCCAGTATAATAAAAGACAAAAAACATAATGATGTTATGGCGGATTTCCTCAAACAATGATTTATAATAATAAAATACAAGAATTAAAATAAGCTAAAACAGCTAAAAAAAATTAAAAATTATTTTTGTGAATTAAACTTTCTTTGTCTTGGAAAACATGAGGCAGCCTAATAAAAATGAAAAAAGACGATTTCTAGTACTGGAAAAGTCATGTAAATTAATAAAATCTTAAAATGGCATGGGCATTTTTTATAAAGAGTATAATTATGATAATGTTTTCTAAATATTTTAAGATTTGAATATTTGGTTTTTATTTTTGTATATACAGATTTTCATTTTACTTAAAACTTTAGCAATTTTGCCGTCTTTGTCAGTTTTATTGGCTATTTTTTATTAGCTATTTTTTATAGTTTTTTTTTTAAATTTCAGATTTAGTTTTAATTATTTTAGTACTGCAAGTTAAACTAAACAAAAAATTAGAAGTATTGCCTTGGCAACTAGTTGAAAAAAAAAAAAAAATTTGTTTTGTTTTGTTTTAATATTTTACTTTATTTTACTTTTATTTTATTTCATTTATTGTTTTGGTTAAAGGTTTAGTAAACATTCATGACACCGAAAGCAGGAACATTAAACTGCTGTGAACCAATATACTGTTACAGTTTCTCAATTGTTTACCTTCACCTAAGCAACTCTGTTTGCAAGGATACTTGCAGAGACATGCATTTTGACATAATTTTGCACGTATGTGTCATTACAGGCACAAATAGACACGGAAGTGAACAGAAATTCAGTGTTCACATGCATCTGTGTGGCTCTCACCGACGCGACAAAATACAGTAGAATTCATTATAATCAGTGACGCTGTCTACACTGGATGCGGCGCGACACGACAAATCCCTAATATTAAGCACACAGTCGCAGCAGGAATATAGCCCGCTGTCACTTTAAGAGCCACACGGATTCAATTTACCGTTTCGCGCGTATTTTCATTCTCAACTCTTTACGTTCATTTAATATATGACCGACGAAGGTATACATGAATAATCACTAAGCGCTGAATTTTGACACATTTTTGCTTGTATTTGACCATTAAGGCGCACACCTTGAGCTAAAAGATGACTTTACCTGTCCATGTGCTGTTCAGATTCTGAGCGCATATATCTTCCTGAGGAGCAGCGCGAGTTCTCTTTCACGCTTTTAAAAACATGAGTAAATATACTTCTATAAATCAAGCACGTCCCATTTTGCAAAAGTCACGTTACATGATTTTACTGATTTGCACGTGAAATTGGGCTTTTATGGAGGAACGAAAGCGCAGCGCTGTAAAAGGAATGGGCCGCAATAATCGTTTCATCTCGATTACTGTATTTTCATAATCGTTGGAGGCCAAAATCGAAACTGTTTTTCGATTAATTGCACAGCCCTAGCTGACGGTGTTTGTGTGTGAGCAAAGAAAACGATCAGTATAAATAATAACGATCAGTATACTAAACATCGCACGTCCTGCGATGTGACTATCGCGGATGCGCACATCGCGATAACGATGCTGAAACGATATATCGTGCAGCCCTACTAGAAATCACTTTGTTTTTTAAACTAGGCTGCCTCATATATCCAGGTTTTCCAAGGCTGAGGAAAGAAAAAAAAACAGTTGTGGATGGGGTTAATTCACCTAAAAAATGTAATGCTTGTTTTGTATTGTATAAATCATTGGTTGCGGACCACTGCCAAAAATCAATATGAAATAATAGATTGATGAGAATCTTATTAAAGCCACAATTCAAACCCTTAAAATCGTACATGTTTGATAGTCATTCTGGACCAAGGATGTGGATTCAGAAGCATGTCCTACTTGGCTAAATCTTGCTTGTCCTACACACAGCCGTATAGGAGCTTATGAGGTCCGGTTCATTTAAAGGACAGAAGAGCGCTGACAAAATAAACCATGTGCTTTATTTATAATTCAGTTGGTTGGTGGCTGGCCAGCAGGAGGTATTTGTTTATATATGCAACTGTATGTTTATAAATCCCAGACTAATTCATAAAATGGGGATTCCCTACAGTGTCAGAATGTGTTTAAATGTGGTGAGCCGGATTTACACTTCACATATGAAGCATATAATCACGTTGCATAAGTGGAAACATGGGCTTCCTCTGCTTGGGAAAGTTCTCCGACTCGTCTTTAGGGTGTTGCTGCGTTCGCTGAAAGCCTTTATATGACAAACACACATGAGGCCGCTAGTGCTGCTGTCAGTGTGCATGTGCGTCAGTGTGATGAATGAATGCCGATAAGGTCAGTCTGCCCTTGGTGCTGTGATCAGGGACGCGCTCGCATTCGTCTGTCTCTCTCCCTCTCACCTTCAATGTGAGTTTTACCCAATATCTCACACGGCCTGTTCCTGTAATAGCATCTGACCACCGGCATCCAGCTGAAAGTGAATTACAGTCATTTAGCGCAGAAACAACAGGCTCCTGTACTGTAGATATAGTGTAGATAGAAGCTCTCTTCCAAACCTAGTGAGCGTCATTTCTCAAAGGATCTTCATACTGGGAGTGACTGAAGTGAAATTTACATTTGTTGAATCTCCACTAATGAGTCTGGCTTTAGTTAACAGATATGCTCTAATAAGCAAAAAAAAAAAATCTAGTGCAGAAAAATATTCACTAAAATATCTATACTTTTCAGTATGGAATGAAATACTGTAATGAAATAAATATATAAAATAAAAATGTCTTTTATTATTTTTAATGATTTATAAAAATGTAATCTATATTTTATCAGTAATGAATGATATAAAAAAAAATAAAGCATCATAATTTTGTTGCCGTCTTTGCGCTTGCATTTGCGTTTACTTCCTTCACTGAGCCCCGCCTAAAAATGTTACTGACCAATCACGACTTAGAATCTGTTGTAGAATTTACAACAATTCGAATTTTTCATTTGAGTTTATGGAGGATAATTTTATAGGAATTATCCAAATATGCTGTAAAAGGTTGTCAGTTCACGTTAGACTTTTTTTTCCCCCCTTTTTGCAACTAAACCACGTGTCATCCTCGTTCTCGACTGAAAACATATATTATTAGTAAGATCATCTTCATTTGTTCCAAAGTAAATTAATGTTAATTACTTTGTTTCACTTACACTAATGTTATCACTTCTTTAAATGAGGCTTTTCTCTTTCAGTGACTGTGAAGAGCATGTGCAAACACTGCAGTTTTTAATCACGTTACGTAATTGAACAATTTCCATGAAAGAAATCAGCAGGTATTGTCTTAATTCATTCCAGCTCACGTTAAGTGTCATATCCAATCAATGAAGCTTAAGTTCATTGCTATGTTCTCTATTAGGGCTGGGTAAAAAATATCGATATCTCGATATTAATCGATTCTCATTTTTACGGAACGATATCGATTCCTAAGTCCCAAGAATCGATTAGTCTTGCCTGATTTCAGTTAATGGACGGAACATTTAAAGGGTACTTCCCATCCAATACATAGCAATAAGCATTGTGCTTTGGTACTTTTCATATAAAAAGAAAGTCTCAGATTTCAAATTATGTATTGCAGTATTTAAACAATAAATGCCGTTTTGGCGCTGTTTAATGTGGAGTCACAGATCGCTGTAGCACATAGCGCACGTGAACCAATCATCTCCTCCACATTAATACCAGTTTCAGCACAAAATAAACAT